TCACAAGAATGAATTGAATCTGATCTCTGGTGACTGCAGTTTTGTACTCCAATAAGATGGCTGAAGGTGTACTAGGAGTAGAGGAGCTAATCCTCAAAGTACAAAGGATAACATATTCCTTTGGGCTCTCTTACCTTGGGTACCTCTTTGGCCTGAAAAATCTATTTGCACAGGGAAGCTGTCTTGCACCCATGTTTATGAGCTTTGATCGATTATTTATAAACCCCATGGACTTACTTAGCACAAGGATGTCAGATGGTTCTTACTGCTTTCTATCCCAAATGGAATATGTAGTTTGTCAAGCCAAAAGGGACTAATTAAGTACCTGTCATATGGTCCAACTGGGGTCTGGCAGACTATGGCCTGTGGGTCAAATCCAACCCACAGTTTATATTTGTGTAACCCAAAGATGTTGCGGAAACAGGCTGGCACTGTGCATTGTGAAATCAGCCAGAGCATGTCCATCCACCCCTACTTCTGCCTGTGCTGCCAGAACCTACCTGCCGGGCCAGTGGCTGCTGCTCAGGTTTTGTACTGGCCACCATCATCACAATGAGGCTTCTGCTGCTGGCAACTTCTGGACACAATGGAGTCTAGGAATCCTCCGGCCAGCTACACAAGTCGAATGACCCAGATTTCCAGGAAGAGTGAAGAATATACCAGGGTCTAGGTGTCACCAGAGCAAAGAGGGGGTAAGCCTCCCCCACCACACTCACCACCTGCCCCCTCCTCCTGGAGTCTGTCCTCAACCCTAAGATCTCCCTGAAAAAAGTCTACAGCAAGTGGCAACTATACACCCAGGACCTCCCCAGCAAATGAGGAAAGAGATGGCAGAATTTATCTTCCTTACTATATTAGAGCCCATGGATAGCCTCAGTTTTTCCCTTTGGCCTGCAAAGCCCAAAATAGTTACTATCTGGCCCTTTACAGACAAGAACCCCTCACTCTACCCAAATAGAGTAATCATTAAGGTAAGGAAGGGGCTGAAGAAGAAGGAAACTTATGAGCTTATGTTAAGAAATCAAAGATACGTGTTTTGCACTTAAGAGAGAAAGGTGCAAATAATAGGTCTGTATATCTGGATCCATACACTTCTAAAAGATGTATTAATTTCTTACCTTTTGTGTCATCTGCACACCAGGCTTAGCTATATGGGGTATTTGATTGCCACCTACTGGGCACAAATGGCCTCTGTGTATTGAAAACAATCCTTCACACTATAGAATATGAAGGTCCCTGCTGTCATCTGGCCGCATTGCCTGCACCAGGTCACCCTGTGTGTCATGGCTGACTGGACAGCTTGAGGCCCAGTAGGAGGTGTTCTCTACCATAGTTGAATTTTTCACTCAGGACAGAGCAGGGTTTGCCTATCTCTTTGTTGTGAGGCTGTTCTGGGCATTGTGGGATTTTTCACAGCATCCCGGCCCTCTACTTATGTAGCAAGCCATGTAATATTTCACCCAAATGTATATCCAAGCCCTAACACCCAGAACCTGTGAATGTGACCTTATTTGGATATAACATTTGTCCTTGTGGATATAATCAAGTTAGGGATCTCTGGATGAGCTCATCCTGAATTCAGGGCAGGTCCTAACTCCAATGACAGGTGTCCCTATTAGAGAAAGGAAGAGATTTGAGTTGCAAAAGAGAGAGAATGCCATGCAAAAGCAGAGCCAAAGGTTGGCATGATATCACTACAAACCATAGAATGTCAAGGATTGTCCGCAGCCAACACAATCTAGGACAGACACACAGCAAGGATTTTGCCTTGGAGTCTCCAGAAGGGACAACCCTGCCTACACCTGATTTCAGACTTCTGGCCTCCAGAACTATGAGAGAATTAACTTCAGTTATCTTAAACCATCAAAGTTGTGGTGGTTTGATGCTTACAGCAATATGAAGAAACTAATGCAACCCAATAGATGCCAGTAGCATATTCTTCCAGTTGTGATGATTAAAATTGTCTCCAGACATTGCCAAATATCCACTGAGGAGCAAGATCATCCCTGATTGAGAAGCACTGTGTTGGCATTATAGCTGCTAATGTAAAAGGAAGAAACACCGGGACTTTACAAGGGATATGCAGCTGTCAGACCACTTCAACATGAAGGCACGATCACTGACAGGTGAGGCAGATAGGGACTACAACTAAAGTGAGGGAGTTGAAAGGCAGAAATAACCAGTGACATCTTATGTTGATTAGGACTTCTCTCCACACCACCAATAAACATAAACAGGAGACCTTTTCAACTCATTCCAACTGCTAAAGATAAAGAGAATTCTAGTCTTTGCTTCTTTGCAATATGGAGGTATTCAGCATCCTGGAAATAAAAAGAAACACAGGACCATGACACATAAACAGTCCCTGTCATTACCCAAGCATTTGTCCCAAAGAAAGTGCAACAGTTAAAAAGAAGCCCTTTCTGCCTCCTAACTCTTGGACTCTTTCCCTACAATAAAAAAAAAGCAAGATGCTAACTTCAGCTCTATTTCTGTATTTCTGGAAACCAACTTGGGCTACTTCCAATAAGATCATAAAAATATCATTGCTGACTAGAAGTGTTGGCTTGAGAAATACACTGCCTGGCTTCTGAAGAGAGTTGTAATGTGTGTGAACTGTGTGAGCATGCATAAGTCACAAGACTTCTTTGACTCTCATGTCCTCATCTGTAAAATGGGGAGAGCCATGGTGCATTCAGCTCAGAGTGCATGCTCCAAAATGTAACAAATATAACAAGTGCTTAGCCTGGAGTCTGGCCTGCATAGGAAAGTGTTTGGGAAATATTTGTTATTATGAATTTGGTGAGCACATAGAAGTTATTGGTGCTTTGAAGGTGCCACCAGAGGAGTGGTGGTGCAAAACCTTGGGATTTCCAGTGCCCAACACAGAGCATGTTGGAGAAGAGAATGTTTAATTATTTGGATGAAAGATTATCCACAAAAAATAGTGCAGGTAATCAAAAGCAGCAGTTAATCCAGACATAACTGGGCCACCGTCAGTGGTTGCTGTCAGCAGCCAATTTACTTCTAGCGATAGCCTACCACAAATGTGTGAGGGCAGGGTTTCTGCCCTGCCCTTGCAAAGCTGCCAGCTGATTAATGAGAGCAGGCTTCAGAGAGTAGCCAACATAGACCTTGATTTGGTTATAGTTAATCCACAAAGCTTATGCCTGAAACCAAGTGAGAAAAGGACAGCCAAGCATCACAATTACATTGGATCCTCCAAAACCAATCCAAAAATTCATAATCTTCAAGACTTGAACATGTATAGTTTCATATTGCTGTTATAACAAATTACTCCCAATTTGGTGGCTTAAAACAACACTTACTATCTTACAGCTCTAGAGGGGCAAAAATCTGAATGGATCTTCTGGGCTAATGGTAAAGGTTTGGCACAGCTGTATGTTCTTTCTGAGGGCTTTGGGGAAGAATTTCTTCCTTGCCCTTTTCGGCTTTGAGAAGCTTCCCACAGTGCTGGGCTCCTCAGATCTACTTCCATTATTACATCTCCTCCTTTGACTCTGACCCTTTGTCTTCCCTCTAACAAGGAACTTACGATCACACTTGGATAACCTAGTATATCTCCCTATCTCAAGCTCCTTAACTCAACCACATCTGCAAACTCCCTTTTGCCATATAGAATGACATGATGATTATCTAGGGATTAGGATGGGGACATCTTTGGGGACAAGTTTTGTCTACCACAGTGCATAAATTCTAGCAAAACATACATTTAGTCCAAGATGACTCAATCATGTTGCATCATAAAAGAAGAACCTTCCAATTATGTAGGGTTTGAGACTTTGATTTGAATCTGTCTTCTTGTACAAGGGTGCACTGAAGGAAATTAAATGCATACAGAAGTCAGGGTGAGTGTAAAATTGGAGTTAAAGTCAAGGTCAACTAAGAGGATACATGTGAAGTCCAGCCTGAGAAGTCAGAATAAAGGAGTCAGCTCACCTGTGATAAAGCTAGGAAATCTTGGCAGAATAAAGAGATTCTCAGGGTCTAGGTAAGGAAAGGATAGAGACAGTCTGATTGCCTAGACAGGCTACGTGGATCCTCAGCACATGGCGCTACATTGACCAGTGACTGAAAAGAACTAATAGATTCCAGTCTCTTTGTCCCGTTTGGAGCAAGACTCTGAAATACAAGTTCTTCACAGTCTCCCACTTTCTCCAGGTGCCCACATCAGCAATGTGCTAGATAACATCTCCTTTTTGTCTCCCTTCTTTTCTCAACTTCACTTCTTCCCATACGCCCTCATGCTATTTCCTGGCACCGTATTCCAGATAATAACTCACACTGGGTTTCAAGGCTTGCTGTTGGGGGAGCCCAGACAGAGGCAACCCCCTCTAATGGCTTCAGGGTTCCTTATAGGAGTATGAAGAGAATAAGTCTGTGGCCAGGGTGCCTGCCATTATGGAGTGCTTGGAAACAAGGGGAGAATCACTATGCTTTGGAAGACACCCACATACAAATGGACCAGTGACAATCTATCAAGTCATAAGGGATAAAGGAAGTTAGAGACCTGAAATTTCTTCTTTTTTCTTCTTCTGCTTAAAAGTTTGGGATTTTTGCTTTATTTTATTTTGTTTATTTGTTAAGTTTATTCATACATTTTAGGTATACAATATGATGACATTTGTCATTGGGAATTTGAACCTTTACATGATATATCTTGGTTCTTAATTTTCCCCCATTCCCCTGCCCTCCCTTCAACCCCTCCATCCCTCCCTATTTACAAAGACTTTGTTTCCATTTTTTCCTTTCCTCATATTTATTCCTTTTATTTCTTTCCTTTCCCCTACCCCTCCCACTTCCCCTTCCCTTTGGACCTTTTCTTCCTATTTCACATTATCTATTCTACGTTTTGATCCTTATTTACATTTTCAGTTTCTCACACCAGAGAAACTATTCAGTATTTACACATGTGACCTATTTATTTCACTTAAGAGTAGAGCCTCAATGTGCATCCATTTTGCTGTAAATGTCTCTAGTTTCTCACTCTTTATGGCTGAGTAGAACTCCATCTTATAAAGAAACCACATCTTCTTTATCCAGAGGGACCTGAAATTACTAAAGAGACCCAAGACACAAAAATATGCCCTTGAGCCCAAATATCTCTATTTCAGACAGGCAAAGATTAAACTGTCATTTTCCCTTTGTCATATCTCTATCTAAACCTAAATATTATTTTCATCCTTTTATGATTTTCTTTTGATTTATTCAAGTCTTACCTTGATTCATAGCCACAAACACTTTTTGAGTCATACAAATGTACAATGCATCAGGTTATGAAGCTTTAGGATAAGGTAATGAGGAACATAATGTATTCCCTACCAGTGATGTTCTGGTAAATGTTCCAGCGAGGAGAAAAAGAGTCCTGATTTATAGTATCTGCCATTTTCTGTGGTGTAAATATTCCCACCATGGCTGATTTCAACCTTAGAAATATGACATCAAATGACTCCCAAAGCTCCTGCAGTAAATGTAACCAACAACTTTTGTGACCTGGTACAAACTGGATTCGTCCTACTTCTAGGAGTTTATCAAACTGACTGCAAAGTGGAAAACAACTCAACACCAGCAAACTTGGTTTCTTACTCACATGACAGTCCTGGGCAGGTAAACAGGCCACTATAGTCCTCTATGGTCCTTCAGAGCTGCCATCTTCAACACATGGATTCGAAGGTCATCCTGGACCATCTCCATTTATCTTAGTCACTTTCCTCATCACTGGGATAAAATACCTAACACCAGTAACTTAAAGACAGAATGGTTCATTTTGGCTCATAGTTCAGAAGTTTCAGACCATGTTCAGCAGTCCAGTAATAGCATGGCAGAATGGCCTAGATGGAGGAAAGCTGCTCACTTCATGGCAGCCAGGAAACAGACAACAGGGAGCTATGCAGGGACCCTTCCGGGTCCCGTCCCCGGTGATCTGCTTCTAACTATGCTCTACCTCGTAACAGAAAGTCAGCTCTAGGTCCCCATAGTCCAATCACTTTCCACAAGTCCAACCTTGGAGGTTCTTGGGGGATGTTCTTGATCTAAACCACAACACAATTTCAGCCCAGCAGAAACGAAGACTGCAGAGGATTACACACTGTGTTTATGAATCTCATTTCTGCTCTTATTCCATTGGCTAGAAGCAGTATGTGGTCACATCTACTTGCAAAGGAAGCTGGGAAATGTAGTTAAGCCATGAGCACAGGAAGAAAAGACTATGGATTTAATGAGCTTCAGTTTTGTCCACCACAATCATATTTGTAAACATTTATGCTATGCCAGATACTGTATTCAACAAGTTTGTAAAGATACATGAATTAACATCTTTTATATATGAGAAAACTAAAACTTAGAGATGTTAAGTGATTTGCCTGTGGTTTTATACCTAGGAATTAGCAAAACCTGGACTCAAAATCCATGTCCATCCTATGCCAAAGAAAAACTCTTCAATAGATAAGTACATCTCTGTGAGTACGGTGACCAAACATCACTTGATTCTAAATCAGATCCCAGCTACAGTAATTCACCTTTGGCAAGATGCAGTTCTCCACCTGGTCTTCTCAGACCCTTAGTCTCAAGAAGGTGAGACTGGAATAAACAAGTCTATCACTCCTAGTGAAATGATGTGTATCGAGAGGAGTAGAGATTTATTTAATTTGTAGCTGCTGCCCTCTGGAAAATGTGAGGATCCGAGGTAGTCAGAGACACTTTGACTGGCCCAGTCTGGAGCAAAATGGCATTTTTTATCTCAAGCATTGGGGCGGGGGTCATGGTGAGATAGAGCTAGCCGCCTAGAAGAAAGGAAAGAGAAAAGGAAGAGAAACCAAGATAGCTTGACCTTTTGGCCCCTAACAGAAGGAAACATAAATGAAATGGCTGCACTGGCTTAGGTTTCTGGGTTTTAATCATTGATCGTTCCGATGGGGCCATCACAAGCCTTCACAGCTATTGTGGAGTGCAAGAGCTGACATCTAGCAAGGCATTTCTGTATCAGCAGCTGCAAAGTGGGGTTTAAGTGGCTTGTTAATGATGTGAAATACCGCAGCATAGTCTTCTTCTTTATAGTATATAAGTTAGAATGTTTATTCTCCCCAAATCATTCTCCAACATTTTGCTCTAGGCTCCTCCAATCTCAAGAAAGGAGCTGTAGGGGTAGCAAAACTCCACCTGCATCCTCTTAGGTTCCTGGCTGGGCTGGAGAACTAACTTCACTCAAGATAGACTGACAAGAGAAAAGCATACACATTTATCTAATGCAAGTTTTATGAGGTATAAGAAGGAATGAAGACTCAGAGGCAGTTAGACACAATCACTATATGTTGAATTAGACAAAAACTATATGTTGAATTGGGCAAAAAATAGTAAACTGTACCAAAGCAATTGAATTATGTGAGGGTGCTTCAAAGACAAGAGACACTTTAACAAGGTCTGTACAGATTTCTCTTGGTTTCAGCTTCCTGTCACTGATAGTAAGAATGTTATTCCTTTTCCTACAAAAAGGAGGTCTTTCACATGGGAATTTCTTCTCTTGTTTTGAGTGCCTTTATTTCAAAATAGTCAATGTGCCAGAGCTGCATATTTTGGGATGGCATATTCTGAACTCCTTGGGAGAACACATTGCAAATGGTGAACTGGGACTTGCCTAAAACCTGGAATCAGCTTTTGGAAGTATCTGTGCTAGGGAACTGCAGCCATCTTGGATGCCACGGCTGAAAATAATTTTTTGCACCACTTGTCTAAGGATTACAATACTCTCTCTCTCTCTCTCTAGATTAGTTATATTTTCATTCCTCTTCAGACTTGGTTCTCAGATGCACCTTTGGATATTTTTCTCCTAAAGCAACAGAATCACTTCAAGTTCTTATATTTGAAAGACAGAATCTATTAACCAAATCCAGAAATCCTGAAATTTAATCTCATTTCTATTCTCTCTTGACATTGTACACCAGCAGAACTTTCCACTCAGTGGGGCATTTTTTTCCCTTTGATGTGACATGTTCAGTAAAGTCACCAGCATGTATTTCCTGAGCAGCTAGTCTCTGCGGCATTTAGAGCCTGCCACACTTCTTTGCAGGTTCAGTTTGATCAAAGATACACTAGGACAGGGAGAGTCTTCAGACTCCACTTTCATATTTGTTCTTTAGAAATTCGGGGTCTCTCAACTAAACAACCCCTCTCAGGCCATCCAACACGAAGACGATTACTATATTCTTTTGACATCTAGTGTTTTTGTGACATTTTACACAATGGCAGGTGGGTTGCTTCTGGGAAAATTCTCCACATCTCCAGAAAACTCTGTCGGGGGTAATTTCCTGATTTATTCTAAAAGGTCACAGCTAAAAAAGAGGTTTTCAGCATTTTTCCACTCTTTAAATGTTTCCATTGATAATCATCAATATACATGGTACCTGAGCTGACAAGGAAAGAATGGAGACATAGTTCCTTGACCTTGAGAAACACAAATTTGACCAAGAAAGCCAATCTCAAGTTTTCACCCTCAAAATTCTCACATTAGGAATCAATATTCTATATTAGCTCCAGACTGAAGAAAGAAAATAGAAGCACAAGTTGCCCCATCTGCTTCCAGGGACCATGATGTGGAACTTAAAATTAAGCTACTATTTAAAGCAGGGCTTGCTCTTGTTAACTCTTAGATTCCAACTTGAATGTCAAAGTGCAGGCTTGAAATCGTCACGGGCTCACATGGTCCCACCCACTTTGGAAACAGTACGTGTGCTGCAGTTATATTCTTGAGGTCCGGGTAATTACAAAATCAAAACCCAAATCAGACGATGTGATTTCATCCAACTAGGGGCCCTTTCTCAGACCCTGTAATCATTGTTTCTACTTTCCCACGTCGGTCTGCGGGAGTCCTCTCTGCTTTTCTTCTCCCGTTGGCAGCTGGTGCTGTGAGCGTTTGCTTGAAACGTTCTTTCCTGGGCATATATTCCTGTCCCCTCAGTCTGGGCGACCGATGTGCATCCTTGAATTATGTATGTCCGGATGTGGTTTGCAGATCAGGAATGGCAGACCTCTGGGGGGAGGGATGGGAGAGACGGGGATGAGGCTGCATTCTTTGACCTCGGTGCCACGCAGAGATATCCTTTCCCCTTGATGAGTCTTGACTGACAAAGCCTGTCTGGGTTCTGTCTCGGGGACAGTTTGAGGCTCACATTACAATATGACTTCTGAGGCCTTTGAAGTCCCAGCTGCAGGGGCAAAAGCACCACAGTGATTAGGGGGCCAGCCTTCTCAGGGAAGGGGATGGCTACACTGTTGAATACTAAATGCAATTAAAAAGGAGCACCTGGGATCAAATCAAAACAAAGAATGTGACTCTGGCTCCAAGCAGAACGGGGCTCATTTGATCACTACAAAGTGCTTGATTCAGAAAAAAAAAACTCAAAACTTTAAAAACCCAAAATAAAGTTTTAAAAAACCTCTCTGACCTGCCAACTCAACAAAGGAATGTACACATTCTTGTAACACCTTCAGGGCAGTCCACAGGCAAATTCAGTTTGCAGCCCCCTCATACCCATGGGGTTCTTTTCTGTGCTGTCTGGGCTTCTTCGTGCTTCCTCAGAGGCCCAAAACTCTCACTCTTCCCCTCACTTCTCACACTCATTCTGCTCCTGCCCACCCAGGGCTAATGTCTTAGAGGCAGTGACTGCTCTAGATGTATGCATGTGCACATGTATGTGTGTGAGTGCTGCATGTGCGTACTGGTTATAGCACCTTACACTATCTCTATCAAAACACATCTATCCCCTTTCCCATTCCCACAGGCTGCTACAGATGCTGATCTAGCTTCAGGACTCCTTAAAACACAGATGGACAGGCCTGGCCCAGGGCTTTCTGACTTGATAGGTCCAGGATAGGATAGAGAGTTCACATTTCTAACTAATCACTGGGTGACCCAGCTGCTGCTGCTGGAAGAACCGTGCTTTGAGAACCACCAGCTGCCTCCAAACAGCAGACTAAGAAGCTAATTAGTGGCTGTTGCATTGAAGGAAAATGTTCTGGACCAAGGAAAGCTGAGTTTGAGCTCCTTCCCAGCACGTACCTACTTGGGCATGTCCCCAGGGTCCTGAGGTTCTCAGTCTTGAACTCACACTGGAATCACACTGTACCCTTTATAAAATTGGTGGAACACCCCCACCTAAGATCAACTTAATCAGAATCTCAGGGCATGGCTCCAAAACATCAATATTTGGTACAATCTCCACAGGTCGTTCATTCTCCTCTGCTTTTAACCTCTCTGGCTTCAGTATCACCCTCTGAATAATGGCCATAATAACTGTTACGTCACCAGACCATGGAGAAGCCCTCGGACACGAGGCTACTCAAATTTTAATGACACAAATTCTCAAATTCTAGGTGTAAGTTTCCCTCAGAGAAAACATTTAAATTTTAACAGAGCCCATTAACACCTCTGTTAATATCTAAATCAGGGCTGGTATTTCTGGCACAAGTTAAGCTGTTGCAGAAAGTTGGAGGGGTGGAAAGCATTTTAACAAATTCATCTTATTCCTCTGACACACGTCTCTCCTTGCTTGTGTTTTTTTCTTCATTTTTTCCACCCAGTATAAGAAAGTTAAATTACTTTTGGTGGCTATCCAATGGCTTGGTGACCCTAATTTACTCTAGCCCAGGGGCCAGCAAACTTTCTATGAAGGACTTGATAATAAATATTTTAGGCTTTGTGGGCCAAATGCCTGCTGCCATTACTCAACTCTGCCACTGTAGCACAAAAGCAGCCACAGACAAAAACAAACAGCCATAGATGATACATAAATGGATGGGCATGGCTGTGTCCCAATAAACTTTGCCTACAAAAATAGGTGGCAACCTGAATTTATGTGTATAACTTGCTGACCACTCCTCTAAGCGACCAATAAAGACAAAAATATTCAAAGTCAACTCAAGGAAGCAGCTAGCCTCTTTCTCATGAGATGTAAGAAGCAAAGAATGCTTTCTCTCCATGTTCATGTATATGGCCTGAGTGTGAAGGCAAGTGAGGAAGACAGGGTGATCCCCTGGATGGGCAAAAGTGAAGTCACTCGCTTCAAAATCATCATTTGGTCAGGCATGGTGGCATATGTCTACAATCCCAGTACTCTGGGAGGCTGAGGTAGGAAGATCTCAAATTTCAGCCTAGCCTGGACAACTTAAGAGATTTAGTGAGACCCTCTCTCAAAGTAAAAAGTAAAAAGGAGCTGAGGATGTTGCTCAGTGCAAAATCCCTGGGTTCAATTCCCAGTGATGAGAAAGAAAGAAACAAACAAACAAACAATTTGCAACTAGCTTAAGACTTATTCCCAGAGAAGATGGTGTGATCTTCCCAGGTTGACTATGAGTTCTCTGGAAAAAAGCCAACGCACCCACCACCACCTTAAATTGCTGCTTCTGGGCCAGGGATGTAGCTCAGTGGTTCCACTGCCTGCCTTGCAAATGCAAGGTATTGAGTTCGATTCCGGTACAATAAAGAAATTGCTGCTTTCTGCTTAAAGCAGACAGGGAGTCTCCGTAAGTCTTTGCTTAACAATAGGAACTTTCACCTAGCTTTATAGAAAACCCACCACAGTAACAAAAGGAGGGATCCCTTTTCCCAAGCATTGTAAATCACAGTGCTTCCTTCTGTACAGTTGGACCAGGAAAGTGAGGATTTGTGTCCTCCCTGGTCCTTTGGCAATGTCTGGAGACATTTTGAGTTATCACAACTGGGGGAAGAACTAGTGGCATCTCATGGACTGAGGCCGCAGAGGATGCTCAACATCCTACAGTGCCCAGGACAGGCCTGCCACACTCATCTGGTGTGCACTGTCACGACTGCCCAGGCGGAGAACCCCCAAGAGAGCACCACACAGCTGAGCAGTTGCAAAAGGGAATGTTTAGAGGCTATGACAAAGGACTTCGATCCCTCTTGCCAAGTTTCTCTTTACCTTGTTTCTTGAAACAGGCTCCTTCCTCTGCCTGATCACTACAGCCGTGGATCCCTCCCTCTTGCACTAGAAGTGAAAGAATATGGAGGACAGTGGATCTTACAGCTGGAAGTAAATCAGGAGATCACCTCATGCAGGCCCTATTAGGGTTGCTCTTCTCCAACTTTGTCCACAAATCATTTGGGGTGGTAGAGATGCAGATTCCAACTTCAGGGCAGAAGCATTTCAGACCTGCACTTGCTGTGGCACTGCAGGCACAGGCAGCCCCAGCTGCACAGGGATGATGAAGTGTAAGGAAATGTCCCTGTCCCACAGATGACGTGATCATAATCCACTAAAGTTAACTCACTTCTCCCAGGGCATTCAGCTGGAAATTCTGAAAAGAATCTGAAAAAGTGACTTCCTGGACCCTGCCACCAAAGAATGAACCACAGAACCCACTTGTCCTCAGGACCCCAAAGTGTCTTGGGGAAACACGGGGTATGTAAGCTCTGTGAGCCTGTTTTCACCCTGCAGTGCCCTGTTCTTTCTCCCTGGCTCTTTAATAATCAGCAGGGTTCTGTTCAGTAGGTCTAAGGAGAGATGATAGGAAACAGGGAGGTCAGCTTTTGGGGGAAGGGGTTTGAGGGGAAGGGCAGAGAGGAAAGTGGGGAGGGGGATCAAAAGTAATGGATGGATCTTTGAGACCATAATGCTAAGTGAAATAAATTAGACACAGAAAGCTCAATATCACATGGTTTCTCTTATGTGAGAAATGCAAAATATAAATAATTTAAAGAACAAAATGAAAGAGATGATGGCAGGAAACAGGGAGGTAGACTTTGGAGGGAAGGGGGGTAAAAATGATCAAGATGTGTACTAATACGTACAGAAACATGTACTAATTCCCCCAAATGAATGTAATTCTTATGCATTACAAACATATAATAATAATAACCCAGCAGGGACTCTGGCTCCAGGCAGCACTTCGCTTCAGCAACTCCCTGGGGCAAGTTCCTTGACAATCACGTAAACTATCCAGCAGCCACTCCTGGAAATGTCTTTCTGGGGACAGACTGGAGTTTGAAAACTGACAGAAAAGGCAACCTGTTCACGCAAAAGGAGCAATCTCCAACTTCCGGTCCAGTTTGTGCGGGCTGGAAACAGGTGGAAGAGTGTGCGTGTGTGAAAGGGACATGGGCCCCGGCAGGAGCAAGGAACGTTCTACCAGCAAGCAAGCGTCCTCTGGACCCAACCTGTCAGGCGGCCTGTGTGTCGGGAATTTATGGATGTGTTTTCAATTTCTCTGACAGAATCTGTTTGGATTGAGGACAGCTGTTTAATCTTTGAAATATGTGTTCCATAACAAACGCTGGAATCACATATAAATCGCTCCTTTCGTCCTGTGAGCCAAACCCTGACTAAAGGGGTTTGCAAATCCCCACAAGGTGCTCTTTGCTTATTGCTCATTCGAAAAGAAAAAAAAAAACATTGCTTTAATGAAATGCAATGTTGAGGAGCTGCCAAAAATAGATGCTCCCTATCTGCCTTCACATATGGTAGCTTCTTTCTAGCCAATTAACTACCAATGAACTGAGGAAGAGCTGTAAAACGGGGCATGCGCATATGGCCTGGGCACAGATGGAAGTGTCTGATCCTGACTCCTCCCACAAAGGCCCAGGATGATCAGCAAGACCCAGACTTTTATGTACAAGGCCATCCTTCTTTGCCTTCGCTAAGCCCCCAGAATTAAGACTGATGGGTTGACACCTTTGGGACAAATCCTGTATGTTCATTCTCTGCCTCTGGCTTTTAACTACATCACGCTAAAGAGAAATATCCAAGGCCCACAAAAGGTTATTCTTTCATGAGTTTTACCAACAGACTTATTTCTACATTAACACCAGGCTACAGAGATTTTTCAGGGGGAAGGGTGGTCTGGAACTGTAGTGGATATGGGGTTTCCCACTGTCTGAAAATATGCAACTTATACCCAAATCTTTAACTTATCCTTGGAAATATATCCAGAATTTAAGAACTTCCCTAAGGCCAGCCTCCATATTGCTCATCTATTACAATACCCTCTAACAAGAGTCCTGGCTCCCATACTTACTGTCCAACCACCAGAATGGTTTGTGGACAGCACAAGTCAAATGCCACTCCCTGAAATTCTGGGTCTTTACCTGGCCCTTCAATATCCTAAGGCATTTGCTCATGTCTACCCTCCTTCCAAAGGAAAAACAGAATGGACCTCAAATACCCTCAATCTCACCCCATACCTGACATCGTCAGTCATGGATCCCTAGTGGGACCCCATCACGGTAGGTCCATTTCCACTTCAGGGCATTTACATTTACTGTGTTCACAGCTGGTTCTCTCACCTAATCAGGGGGGACTCCTCTCACCCCACTAACTAGCACTTCTTCTAGGTCATGGGCATGTGGGCATTCTTTTTAAAATTTTCTTTAAGGTTGAAAGTTTTCAAAATAAAAACACACAATTCAAACCCTTGTGGTTCCCAGGGTACTAGAGAAGATTTTTTCTGTTCAAAGAAAGGATGTGGCTAGGTGTGGTGGTGCCCACCTGTAATCCCCAGTACTCCAGGAGATTGAGACAGAAGGATCACAAGTTTGAGCCCAGCTTCGGCAACTTAGGGACTTAATGAGACCATGCCTCAAAATAAAAAGTAAAAAAGGGTTAGGGATGTAGCTCAATATAAAGGCTTTGGGTTCAATCCCAAGTATAACATGCACAGAAAAGGAAGGATGAAAGAATGAAGAAATGTCAGACCAAATTGTACCCCCCAGCCTACCACACAGAGTACACACACAGGTGGCCTGCGGAAAGTGGTCCTGCCCTATCCTTGGACATTTCGAGCCAAACTCTCAATTTTTATTTGGTTTATTTGATCATTGCCCACTTAGCCAAGAACAAGCTATTTAAAAGCCAACCAAATTGATGTCATGATCTGCTTGACAATCTTAAGGATGGGTCTGTAACTTAGTTACATGCCTCAGCCATGTTACCATACCAGGTTTCCAGAGGATCTGTTGGGCAGAAACAGGCTGTGAAATCACAGTATCTGTTCCATTTATGACATGCTTGTTGAGAACTCTGTGCTTGTTTTAAAAGTGAGGTTCAAACATTTAATTTTTAATAAGGTGCCGATGTTTACAGAGAATGTTACAATAAAAAAAGTTGCTATGCGGTTGTTCCAATACCAAATGCGAATATATCTCATAAAAGTAGCACATAGGCTCATTCCCAGCACACCTAGGACAGCAAATAAATAGTTATTACCCAACCGGTGAAAATGGGATCTGGTTAATGTTTCCCAAGGTAGACATACAGGCTCCTTTCTCATGTAAATCATTTCAAAAGCTAGAAGCTGAGTCTGATAAAACACTGCCTACACAAAATCAAAATGAAAGCATATTACAATTAAATGGGAATTCAATAGACTCCTCTTCTTGGGTTTCACATCTTTTCCAGCTCAGCACTGGATAATGAATACTGAGTAGACTTTGCACGTGTTGATAATTTAAAGTAATCAGATCTCACATAAGTGAAACAAACATCTCCAACATCTTCAGTTTCTGTGACTTATTAAGATTCAAAGTGTATCTGTTTACAGGTCCTCTCCTTCACAAGCCCATGGGGAAGTACTGGGCCGAGAACCTTGAGCCTGCCTGCTTTTAAGCAACACCTAGTGCTCAATTTTTAATGACTCACTTTGAGCATGCTGACCTTTCCCTAACAGCCACAGGAACATCTGCAGTCCCAAGCGATGCACTGAAAAAACACTTGGAAAACATTCACCTATCACTTCCAGGATTCCTTTATCTGGTGTCTTGTAGCCCATTTCCTCAGTAGTAGAGAGGGGAAAATAAGACACAAGTGATGTGCCTTGCTGAGAACTCCTCTTCCACTGTGTGCCATGGTTTTGTACATTAAAAACAGATTCAGAGAAAAGAGTTATACAAATATCTGGAAAAGAAACAAACATTGTTCAGAAAGATATTTATTTTACCTCGCACCAGGTAAAGTGGATTGAAATTCTGCACTGGCATACAGCAAACACCCTCAGAATCCCACCTGGGTACTTCTACAAGAGTGACCCAGAGCTGGGCAATGTCCCTTTGGAACTCGGATGAGGCCTGACTTAGCCAGTGAGTGGACCACGTGGCTAAGGTGGACTCCTTGGGAAGAAGGCCATTAACTATAGCAGTCCTGACTACAGACTCCCCATCCCTGCCCTTCCCCTGCCTATCTGACCCTGTCTTCCTATGGAGGAGAGTCTGAGTCTTCCCACACCATACTCCAGGATCAACTTGCAAAGAAAAGAAGACTGGATTATTTCCAAAGTCATTCTTGCAATGGCTTCCGATACAGTCCTGAACATCTCTGTGCTGAGCACTGGGAGAAGGGCACAACTCTCAACTTCCCTCTTGGTGACCCTGGCCTGGAGAAAACCATCCCCTCAGCCCCTTCCATGGCCTCTAGGTTAGATGAAAATTCTGCTGTTTCACTGACCTTTGGCTACCTGTGTACTATTTTCTGTTCTCTCTAAAGCTATCTGTTTCAGCTAAAAGGGCCTCCCAGATTATAAGAGGTCAGGCTCTGACAAATACTCTTCCTGTTACTGGCCAGCTTTGAGGTGAGACACACAGGGATATGAGGGAAACTAAATGAGATAAACTCTAAAATTTTAGGATTTATAGTGCAGGAGAATCCTGATCAACTGCACATGTTCTGTGGAAACTCCAATAATAACACTAAGATTTGTTGCTTAATATTTGTGCTGTGAATGAGACAACAAATTTCATTCTAAGACCAAAGTTGAAATTCCTCTGTTAACTGGACATTTCCTTGCTGATGTGGCTATCTGATGTTAATCTGGAGGGGAGCAATTGATAACGGAAACATTTTCCATAGTTGACAGCATGACTTGACTTAAACATTTTAATCCAGAGAACAAGACTCTTTATAACTAGAATTTTTTAAGAGAACCCCACTTGTAGCTCAGTTTCTATCAAAATGACAATTCTGATTAAGACTAAGAAATGATAGATTCTGATTAGGTAGTCTATGTCAATCTGATAGAAAACGCAGGAAACAAAGTGGTTAGAAGAATGTTTGGGAGGAGTTTGTCAAGAATGAAAGGGCAAGGAAGATGCAAAGGGCAGTAACAGGGAATTTCATATGGCAGATATATTCTCCTACCAAGAACCAATCCCTCTTCTTATGAGGAAAACTTAAATTTCATTTAGAGAGTAATGTGCCCTTCCCAGGCTTGCATGCAGGTATAGAGCACCAAGCAACAGAATTCTACCCAATAGGTGTTGCTGAACATGTTGGGGAAAGCTCTGCTCTCCTGATACAGACTTTGCACCTTGTTAATTGCCTCTGTCTTCTTTTTCCCACTTAGAAAGCAGACATAATACCTGGAGGTTCCGCAACCACCTTGCGACTATGAGGCAATATGTCAAAGGACAGAGGATGAGGATGATAGAAAAGAAATGCCAAACAGTTTGGATCCCTGTTGATATTATGGAGACAGCCCTGGGGTGCTTCTCCCCCAGATTTCTTATTCAGCCCTTCACTACTTTTGGGTTTCCTATTATTTGCAGTCAGGTGCACATGAACCTGAAACATCAATATTCAATGGCAATGAGATGGAAAAAGATGAGGATGATTCTGGGCAAAAGGAGGGATGAAGACTAAAGTGAAGAAGCAAGTGAGGTAAATCAGACTAATCACAGAATGGGCCTAATACACAGCTTAGTTCCACCCTGCAGGAAAGACAGAAAGTCCTGATGAAAAGAATAAATGCATCATTACGTCAAATACACACGCCCACTTCTTAAATTGGCTATATGACATTGAACTCTGTCCTTCTGTTCTGTGATTGTTCGTATGAAAGTGCATGCTTAGACATTAAAACTGGACATTTTGCATCCTACAGCGAAGAGAATGGAACAGATTTAGAATCAATTTAGTATCTCTCTTCCAATCCATTTGGAGGAGTTCCCACTGAGAACGTGTATGCCTCATCCTCTTCACAGTCATAGGAAAAATAAGTAGAAACAGTAGGGAGCCAGTTTTGACTCTTGCATATATGCTACTTGGAAATTAAAACACACGTGTGGCAAGCAGAGCGCATACAGGCCACAACCCACGGAAAGTGCCGGACTGATCAATTATTAAGAATGCACAGGCAACAGGAATAAGTAAATGAAGCAAATGCAATGGGGATGTAAGTCAGTACTCAGGTACATGTCCCTCAAAATAAGGATACAGCCTCTCACCTGAGAGGGAACGACATGCAACACAACATGCTTCCGTGGTTCCTCATCCAGGCCAAGGTGCTCGTCAGTCCCAAGGTGTCGATCTGACACAGTGAAATGTTTTCTTCAGGGTCATCATGGCAAGCATCTATGATGTTGGCTCAAAAGTGGATAAATAAGCAAAAATAATGGGCAATGGGCTGAGAAGAGGAGCAAGAAATGGGACAGTCATGAGCACACCCACTGGGGGTAACTTGCAGCTTTCACTCTTCACCTTTAATTTTTCTTTTCCAGCAAAGTAAGTGCAAATGTCGTTAGCATGATTCAGTAACATAGCAGCAAAATTTCAAGAATCAATAAATAAGAACATTGCCATGCCAGTACCCCTTTGTTCTTTGGACTCAAAGCTTCACATGTGTTCTGAAGTTACAAACAAACATCAGCCTTGAGCAGACAGGGCCAGAGGTTCTCCATTCAGCATTTGTGTTCCGTATCATCATAGAAACCACATCATTTACAACCACCCACATGCCCCCACAGCAGTTAGCAAACTCATTAAGAAACACAGCTTGAAACTCATAAGGGGTTAAAGCTATGAAATGTCTATCATTGATGGTTTTGCTTTAAAAAAAAAAAAAGATTTCACCCTTCTTCTCTCCTTTCAAAGAAAGCTTTTGTTTCTGCTGCTGCCAGTGCATGATCTTTCACTGGGATAATAATGTATCATTCATTTATTTGTTTATTTATTTTAAAATGATATAGTCAATGTTGTTTCTCAAAATAATTGCCACCTTGTTGCTAATTAAACATGATGGATTCAGGGTCCTGGTTTGCCATCTGGGCCATGTGTCTCAAAACATCCTTTTTCGTGATGATGCCAAGAAGTCTCCTGGAGTGGAAAGAAAATGGAGACGAGATCAGCCCTTGCACGGACTCATTTTTGTCCATAAGCCCCAGTGCCTTTTCCCCCAGAGCTCAGGGTTAGGTGAAGTTTCTCAATTTCCCTTATGGTTGGGCAGGATCAATGGACTCAGTCTTGTCCAAGTGGCCCATAGGCAAAGGTGACAGAGGCCACTCCCAGTTCTCCTGCACATTTCATCTGTTAACCAGAGCCAGAGGAGACAGTGAAGGACCAGGGCCACAGAGGACTGACTTAAGGACCACCAGATTTAAAACACCAGGTCTATGCCAGACTGCATTGTCAAGAGCCCACACCTGCAACCCACATAGGTATGACGTGTAAGAAAAATAAACATTTATGGCATTAAGCCACTGTGACTGCAAGCATGTTTATTATAGCAGTAAACTTATGATGACTAATACACTCTCTTAAATTTCATGACTATAATCAATTCTAAAAGTGCTTATAAAAGCCATTGTGAAAACTTGACCACACCAAGAAATTCCAAGTGTAAGAGAAACTGTAAATATAAAAAATGTTAGGTATAAGATAAAATGTATTCTATTTTTAATTTGATCTTGCTGGAAGGAAAAAGTTCAATATTCATCTCTGATCATATATGCAAGTTACCTCTCCTTTGAAAATCCCACTGCTTTCAATTCATAGACAATGCCACTGACCAGTGTCCCTTGCATGGGACCACCTCGACTATACCTCAGTCAACCCCACAGAGCACCATTCACAAACGTAAATACTGCTCCCTGAATTCTGCAGTGCCCATCTGCACAGCTGTTCACAGCAACCTTTGCTTCACTGCTTTATTAAACACTTAAAGGACAATGTGCAGGAAAAACATTATGCCTCCCAGGTGAAGTGACAGGTTCAAGAGAAGAGGATGTGCATGACTTCTTTGGAATATAAATTCCATTATCAAATAAGGTTTTTTGAGACAGGGTCTCACTATGTAGTGGAGACTAACCTGGAACTCACTATGTAGCCCAGACTTGTCTCGAACTCACAGTGATCCTCCTGCCTCAGCCTCCCAAGTGCTGGGATTACAGGTGTGCGCCACCACGGCCGGCTCAAATAAATTTTTAAATGACTGATCACTGTATCTCCATCATACCCAAGAAAAGGAAAATGAGGCAGCAAATTATAACAATCTCACATAGAAATACCATACAGCTATTAAAATGACAGGATTCAGAGCCAGGCATGTTGGTGCATGCCTAGAATCCCAGCTAATTGGGAGGCCCCAGGCAGGATCAAGATGGTATGTTTGAGTCGCACCTGGGCAATTTAGCAAGGGCCTGGGGATGTAGCTCAGTGCAAAGGCCCTGAGTTCAATACCCATTACCACACACAGAAAAGACAGGTTTATACTCTGTGTCCACATAAAATGATGAGATAAAAAAAAATCAGAAAACACAACTGTAATATCCTGCCATTTTAAAACGAAAGCTAAATATAGGTAAGTTCATTGTTTACTAATAGTAGATAAGAAGAGGGGACACAACTATTCCAAGGGGTATTCACATCAGCTACACCTGGTGAGAAAGTCAGGCCACAATTCAGACTTTTTTGTATTTGACCACATTCAACCTTACACAGCCTTGAAAATGTGATTTTTGGTGTGTTCATGTCCACATCTATCATCCTAGGTAGACAGGTCATAGAAAATACTGCCCCTTCCACTCTGTCTCGGAAAAACATCTTTAAGAGAGAGGAAAACAGCAAAAGGGGCCTTTAAAAGCAGGCTAAACAGCAGCTGTGTGAGGGGGCAGTCGCCTGAAGGGAGTGTGGAGGGGTGGTTTAGGCAGACAGACCCTCAAGCTGTTTGGCATTCCTTGACTTTAGTCATGGCCATGCTTTACTTTAAATACATTTCTAAAATGTATCACAAAGCAATAAAATATAAGACGCCCCATAAAACAAGATGCTGCTCTACAAACCTATCAAGTTGGGTCTGAGTCTTTTTATTAGTCACCCAGAGTGCTTTCACAACAAAAGACATAGATGAGGTAGCTTAAACAAGAGGAATATATTTTTTCAAAGTGTCAGATCAAGATGCCCACAGGTTATTTGCTCCAGAGGCCACTCTCCTTGGTTTACAGATGGATAGTGCCACCTCCTTGCGTGTCTCTACATGGCTTCTTCTCTGGCCTATATACTCCCTGTGTGTCTCCCTCTTCTGAGGACATCAGTCCCATTGAACTAGGGTCTACCCTAATGGTCTCATTTAACCTTCACTACCTCCGTAAAGACTTATGTCCCAACAGGCACGTTGGGGATTAACATGGGAATCTAGAGGCAGGGACAATGCCCTCTGAGTGCTTCCCTCTCTGCACCAGATAAAATTAAAACACATGTAAGATGGAAGAGCTGACTTAAACAAACCCAGCTTGTTCACCCAAATGTTGGTATAATCCTGCAGCAAGGGACAACTAAAGGAGATGCTAATGTGAGTATGACCACAGCCGAAGAAATGAGGACCCTGCCATGGCTCTGGTCTCCTCACACAGAGATGTTGCTGAGTCCAGCTGGTGAAAACTGATGAAAACTTTTCCACCCTGATTTGTCTTAGTTGCTTAGGGGTCAACTGCGTAACAAGGACAATTGCATTCATTCAGTGAGAGGTCAGGATTTTCTCCGAGCACTGCTCCCAGTGCTTCACCAAAGCACTTGTTTCTGTGGAAGCTCTGGTGAGCCCCTCACTCATTAGAGCTGCCCTTCACCTGGGCAGCTGAGAAGAGCAGCTCAGGTCTCTGGACCTGCAGCACATTGGGGGCTCAGAGGCCCAGAGAAAGAAAAGAGGTTTCCTCCTGAGGTCTGATACATTTCTTCTTTACACTGATGATGCTAATTATTTCAAAGGGAGCAGTAATATCCAGTAGAGGTGGCTCTGACACTGAGGACTACTACGTAAAAGCAAATGGGCATCCCCTGTGAGGTCCCACCTGTACAGCAGCAGCTATCCCAACCTGAGTCTATAGGACTCTCCCCATCCCTCTATGCTCCTCCAAAAGGATGTACGCAGGGCTTCTCCACCTTGACACAACTGACAGTAGGGGGCTTGGTCATTTTTTGCTGATGGGGAGTGGGGAGCTGTCTTGGGCAGGCCTCTACCCTCTATTATATGTCTGATATGTCCCTGACCCCCAGGGGAAATTTCTCTAAACTCTGTTAAATGTCTCCTGTGGGCAAGGGTCAAAATCTCCCCGTTGTTTAGCACCACTGTTCAATTTTAAAATGATGAAATATTGCCATGCTTGATGGCTTATAGCCACCAAGGTGAATACTCTGGAATATCCCTTGCTGCCTTTATATTGCTTCTACAACCCAACTGAGCTCATCACAATTCTTAACCAAAGACTACTGGCTAGCACCAACTCTTAGGCACTTTCAATTATCGCTCCTAGCTGGGAGCTTTCCAGTAAGAGTCATGGTGGCACATGGTGCCAGAGCACAGTGGCACATGACTATAATCCCAACACTCTGGGAAGCTGAGGCAAGAGGATCGTGAGTTCAAGCCCAGTCTGGGCAACTTAGTGAGACTGTCTCAAAATAAAAATGAAAAGGGATGGAGGGATGTAGGTCAGTGCCAAGGCCCAGAGTTCAATCCTCAGTACAGAGAGAGAGAGAGAGAGAGACAGACTGACCCTGTATGGGTGCACATATACTGTGCACGGCAGGTAGAAGCCCCCAACCCGGTCATATACTCTCACAACTTCACTGAACAGGTTTCCCAATAGCCCAGGAGTCTGGATCCTTGGAGATGATTCTGCATACCTTCCAGCTGCCCCCAGATCTATTCCTCACTCTTACTGAAGGCTGCTGTGAAGACAGCACTGATATCCTCTGGGGCCTGGGGCCTATACCCAAGGCCCTCGATAGCTCACACTCAGCACAGCTCTGCCCCTAGTGCCTGGCAGCTAATCATGCTTTGAGAAATAAGACCTCTGGAAGAAACCCAGATGGGAATGACTCTCAATCCAATTCCCTTCAACCTTGAACAAAGTGTTTTGCCTCTTAGAGTGTCATATCCTCATCTCAAAAGTAAAGAGAACCTAAATGCCCACCACCTAATTGAACCAGTAAGTAAATGTAGTGCATCTACACAGTAGAGTGTTACTCACCATGAACGGGACAAAGAACTGACATATGCTGCAACACGGGCGAATTTTGAAAGTGTTATGCTAAGTAAAAGGAAGCAATCACAAAAGGTCACAGTTCAGATGATGCCATTTGTATAAAGTGTCCAGAATAGGCAAGTCCTTGAAGACAGAAATATTAATGGGTGCCAGTGGCTAGGGGGAGAGTGGGACGGGAAGTGACTGCTAATGGGAATGGGGTTTTGTGGGGAGAGATGGAATATATTCTGGAATTAGAAGAAGGCAATGGTTACACAACCATATGAATACAACAAGACCCTTGCAGGGTACAACGTAAGATAGTGGATTTTATGGTGTTTGGATTATATCTCAGGAGAAAGGGAGGGGGGAAGGAGGAAAGGGACAGACAGACTAAACAGAGTTTCCACATGACTCAGCTATTCCATTTCTAGGTATATGCCCAGGAGAAATGAAAATATATGTCTACACAAATCTTCTACATGGATCCTCTTTGTAACAGTATTATTTATAATAGCCCAAAGTGGAAACAACCTAAATGTCCATCATGGAAGACTGAATAAACAAAATGTGGTCTATCCATACAACGAAAGACTGTTCAGCCATAAACAGAAAGGAGGACCATATGTGCTTCAACATGGATGAACTTTGAAAATACTATGCCGAGTGTAAGGAGCCAGACACAAAAGACCACATAGTACATGACTACATGCCTGCGTGATGTCTTGAGAGACCAAGGCACGGATTAGTGATTGCCAAGGGCTGTGTTATAAGGAGGTGATGGCCAACAGCTACAAAGATTCTTTTAGAGTGATAGGAAAGTTCTAAAGTTGATGATGGTAATGGACAATGCATTTCCTACTAAAACCACCAAATTATACATTTTAAATGAGTGTCTTGTATGGTTCATGAATTAATAAAGACAAGGCTTCATGGGCTACCCAAAGCTCCACTCACTACTCAGAGACTAAGAATCTGGTGATGGCAACAAAAGGCAGGTGAAAGAATTTTCTAACTGACCTATGTAAAAAAGTAGAACAGAAGCCGGGCATGGTGGCGCATGCCTGTAATCCCAGCACTCCGGATGCTGAGGCAGGAGGATCGCTGTTGACTTTGAGACCAGCCTGGGCTACATAGTGAGTTCCAGGTCAGTCTCAACTACGTAGTGAGACCCTGTCTCAAAAAACGAAAAGCAGAACAGCAAAATGAAGGGCAGGAGAAGAATAGATAGAGTGTAAAAGTGCGAGCATTTACAAATGTTGGGATTTGTATTGCCCTTTCAAAATAAAAAAAAAGGAACAGTTATAAGGCCAGCAGCTTGTTCCTATAATATGCCACTCTGCAGGCTGTGCGCGGAATTGAAATCAGAGAAGAGGTGAGCAGATCATCCCACAGGGCCAAGGCACTCACAGGTGTTCTTAGACTATGGGTTGGAAGGGCTTCACAGTTTGCAATGGCAACTAGCAGACAATCCCTCCACTTGAGCTGCTCCATCGTCCTCTGCCATCTATTCTCTATTGGAAAGCCTATCTCAGGACATTCTGCCTGGCAATGACTGCCTTACATAACATGATACACACTGGATCACATCCATGTTCCTTAGCAAATGACAAGCTCCTCTGCTTTTTTTTTTTTTTTTTTTTTTTTTTTTTTTTTTTGGTGATACTTTCTGAGTCTTTAGTTTGCAGCCAAAACAGATGTTCAGTAAAATGTTGCTTAAGTCAACGTCTCCTTGAAAACAGTATGAACACTTGGATTTGCAAAGTGATGAGAAGTCTACTAAAACACACACACACACACACACACACACACACCCTTACCATA